AATAATATTAATAATACTTAGGTCTTATATAGCACTTTTCATCAATATATCCCAAAGGGCTTCATGAAGGAAGAAAGTATCATTAGTCCCATTTTACAGATGGGGAAACTGAGGCACAGAGTGGTGAAGTGATGAGGCTTAAAGAAGGCTGGGTGGGGCCTATAGTCAAGATCTTACCCATTGCAATCAGCATCTTCTCAGCCAGGGATGGCTTTTCAAACCCTTGATAGTCAGATCTTGAGCAGGTCCAGTGGGACTCCCTACCTGCAGGGTGTAATATACTGACTTTTCTGCCCCTGCAGCCTCTAGCAGCTTTGGGAGTTGGGTGAAAGATCAGGTGTGGTAATCAAATTCTGATCTCCCGAGTGGCAAACAATAGCACTGGGTCATTGTCACTACAGATTTTTAAATAGCACTGTAATTATAGTGGTGGTTTGAGTCTAAGGCTAATTTTAAATTATGATTAGAAATACAAATAAGTAAAAGTCTTAGGAGGCTTAGCTGCTCTTCCATTGTCTGATCCTAGGGGCTGGAGGGGGAGGTTAATTGTTGATTTTATATGTACACTGGATTAGTCCCACTCTTGTTCCTCTCACTTTCCCAAGCATGTTGCAAGGCAATTAAAGTTGGATGAGATTGGTGCCTTACTCCCTTCGGAACATGACCTGCCATTGGAGCTGGTGTAGTGCTGAGTGTAGTGGCACGCAACAAGCACCCTGTTCCTCTTAGCAAGAGATGCTGTCATGTAACGTATGTCCCAGATGTGAGTGACTGTGAATGTTATCCAGGGTCTAAATATCTTGTTGGGTTACTTAAACAAGAATATTCTACCACTCAGGCCTGGTCTATACCTAAAATTTAGATTGACATAGTTACGTCACACTGGGAAGATGTGAAAAATTCACACCACTGAAATGTTGTTAAGTTGACCTAAGCCCTGGTAAAGACACAGCTAGGTTGATGGATGAATCTTTCTATCAACCTAGCTACTGCCTCTCAAGGCGGGCGGATTAACTAGAGTAATTGTAGACCTCCTTCCATCCCTGTAGCAAGGGTCTATGCTGCAGTGGTGCCGTTTTAGCATCTGTATGTAGACAAGCCCTCAGTTGGTAAGACCGTTTCTGGATCCCGGGGTTGCTTTTTATGTAGGACCTACGCTGTTGTGCTTTGCTGCCAAGAGGAGCACCGAGTAACTGACAGACCATGTGGATAACGGTTGGGCCTGATCCAACTCCCTTTGAAGTCAGTGGTCAAACTCCCAGTTGCTTCAGTGGTACAGAGCCCAGTCCCTGGTGCACAACTATGGATGTGAAAACGAGCCAATACAGGGGCAAATTCTTTGACGTAGAGGAAAGGACCAAATGAGGCAAAGACCCTTTACTTCCTAAAAAAACAATGAGGAATCCTTGTGGCACGTTAGAGACTAACACATGTATTTGGGCATAAGCTTTTGTGGGCTAGAACCCACCATGCATCTGGTGAAGTGGGTTCTAGCCCACAAAAGCTTATGCCCAAACAAATTTGTTAGTCTCTAAGGTGCCACAAGGATTCCTACCGCTCTGAAACCTTTTCTTCTTAGGTCCTCCTGCCAGAATGTAGCACAGTATGCAGAGTTAAAAAGCACATTTTATAAAGTATTTGACTATGTCTCCCTGGGGGGAGGGATAGCTCAGTGGTTTGAGCATGAGGCCTGCTAAACCCAGGGTTGTGAGTTCAATCCTTGAGGGGGCCATTTAGGGAACTGGGGTAAAAATCTGTCTGGGGATTGGTCCTGCTTTGAGCAGGGGATTGGATTAGATGATCTCCTGAGGTCCCTTCCAACCCTGATATTCTATGATTCTATGAACTGGTGGGAAAAAACGTAACCATTTGGAGATGCTTTAGAACACCGATTAGCTGGAAGTTACAAAAGATTATATACTAAACTAGCAGCACCTGCGCCTTTTCCATTCCAACTCCCCAGAAATTGTTTTTTTTTTAATCTCATTTCACATCAGTGTTTCAGTTTAAACTGGATATGCATCCTTCACATATTACTGAAAGGGCTACTCCAGTTTCTTTTACTTAATCATGGGTGTCTCTACGAGTAAGCATACTCATTAAGAGCGTTTCATCACCGAATCTTTGTATACTAAGCAATTGCAACAACAGCATAAGAGCCAGTAGTTGCCAAAGAAAATGAAAAAAACACTGAATGAAGGATGGTGATTGAATGATTACATGTATGGAGGTTTTTATTCACATACACCATAGTATAATAGACTTTGTAATAAAGTTAACTTTTACTGAGAGCCCAAATGTGCAAATTTATATTTCTTATTGCTCATAGTTCTTTGCATGATAACTTGCCTAGATCCATGTTTGGAATAAAATTAGGAACAGAGTGAAAAACACAGGCAGGAGACATGGAGCCTGGGTAGTTTTTCTGTACAGAAATTTGCAAAACACTAGACTAGGTAGTGTATTTAAAAAACAAGCACCCCACCCACCTCACCTTGCTCTTTCATTCCCAAGTGGGTAGTAACACATGATGATGTAATGATGACATGACTTCATTATCACAGCACAGCCATCTCTTCTCTTTGATCATCCTTGTAGTGCCTGTATCTTATGGGAAACTTTTTGCCCTCTAGGTTGAGGAAGAGTTTCCATATTAAATTGGAATACTGTTCAGATTTATTTAGTAAACTCTGTCACATTTTATAAGCAAATGTACCTGGGCTTTATAATTGGCAACATGCTTAGGCTGCATAGTACTGTGGGTAATTTAAGGTATTGCCCTGGAATAAGAAATCTGCAGGGAAAGACTTGCAAAGAGAAATTTTAAGGAAGCTTTATAACAAATGTAAGTATAATTAAACATTCCTAACAATCATAACTCAACCTTGCAGAACGGTTGAGGTTTTTTTTGCAACACTGAATAGATCAAGTGAGCCCTCTGTTTGGGGGGGAATAGACAGTGTGTACGTTGCTTAGGAGGAGAGGAGCAATTATTGCTGATTACTGTTTTGATGATTTGCTAGGGGCATATTTTCAAGCCCTAGTTAAAGGGAGTAAGTGAAGTAGATACACTTCGGTCTTGAGCTTAAAATGATCAAAGAGTTTAGCACAAATCTTACGCCATCTAGTGGCTATTCTGCTAACTACTTGTTCTGTATAGAGAAACGGGAAGGTGCTTTCCCGATGCACATTTGCCCCCTCCCCTCCGTTTCATTTTGTAAGGTACCTAAATATGGGCGAGAGGAATCCAAAGAGTATAATTGATACCGGAGAAAGTAGCGAAAACACAACAGCGCGAAAGTAATGGATTTACACAAAACAAGCCCTATATTAACCTGTTTTTACAACGAATTATAAGGTTGCACCAATTAGTAGGTTCCAAAAATTGCACCACATTAAAGCAGAAGCCTCAGCGGGCGCTTATGTGTTGTGTCGGTGTTAGCAGTACTGTTCTCACTATACGTTCATTGAACAGTAGCGCAACCCCAAGATAAGGACGGTTAGTAAAAATGCCTAATGGGAATGCGGGGAGGGACTCTGGATGTCTCGTTCAGTTGTGGCGACGGCGTATTTTCAGCCTGCCTTTTTCACTCGTGGTTTCTCTCAGGGACGCAGTCCAGCACGATACAGTGTCTCGGTCTTTCATTTTTATGTCAGTTAGCGCCGTTTTAATACTTTTTTGGCCGACAGTCACGACTGTACCCATAATGCACTGCGCCACCTAGCGTGCATATTTGCATACGTTGCTGGCGAACCTTCCCTAGAGGGAATGAACAGTCTCACAGCAAAGTTTGTGCCGTTAAATGGAAAGGAAGAAGTGGTCAAATGCATCCTTTTTTGCATTTTCCTTTGGGCTGATTGGCATTTATGCACACATTGATGGAACTGAGGATAATAATAATAAATAATGATATAAAATTTGCACAGCTTTACTAAGTTTTTATGAAAGATCACCCACCCTTTACCAGGATGATGTTAATATGTTAATAAAAATAGACACATACTTAAAATCAAACCAAACCACCAATCTACTGATATTTTACTTGTGATAAGAGGGTGGGGGGGGGAGTATTTTGCCAGGCTAACTTAATATGCGTAAAGCAGTTTACAAAGTATTTATTGTAATAGTTTATTACCTACCACTTATTTATTATGCTTAACAAAGAATACATAGCACTTAAGAATATTATTAATTATAATTAGCACTTCTGTATCTTTTCTATTAATATTAATACATGGTATCATTATGGATATTCTTAATTAGCATCTATTTAGCACATTGCAAAATATGCAGTGCTTTCAAATAATAATACTATCCAATTCTTATATAGGGCTTTTTTATTAGTAGATATCAAAGTGCTTCACAATCTTTGAATGTATTTAAAATTATTATAATTATTTATTAAAGGGATACTACAAACTTTAAATAAAGAAAAATCATGATTGTAATCCTAGTAACACTGTTGACAAACACTTTCACTTTCAATAAAAAATCTATTTAGTCATCCCTATTTATTGCTGTTAGTTTAATTTTTTTCTAAACTTGGATAATAAATACAATTAACCCCGTTGCATTATACATTATTTAGTAATACATTATAATTAATATCAATTAATTACCAATACATAGAAAATAATAGAAATAATAAATTGCAAATATATATAATAAATAATTGAAGAACATGTCTGTGGGAGTGATTATAATGATTGATTGTGTGGATTGCAGTTTGTTTAAAAATCAGTAATCCTTTCATTGGTCCTCTAAAGTAGGTAAGTAATCTTCTTTATGGTCATATTCTATGCTGGGCAGTGGGCAGATCCAAATGGCATACATTGCAGTGGAACTCCTTATACGATGCGTGAAAGATTTGTTTCTCTTTTATGAGCACATTTATTCCAACATTGCTTCTGCAGTGGGAAACCCCTACAGTCTTGCCTATCCTGGTGTCTTATGCCTGACTGCACGCTAACTTGCTATCTTTGTTGTTGTGTGTTTGCAGGTGGTTCTGCTGGGGATGGACATCCTGTCTGCACTAGTGTCACGGTTACAGGATCGCTTTAAAGCTCAGATAGGCACAGGTAAAGGCTAAGGGATCGTTAGCCCATCTGAAATATATTTGGCCAAATTCTGCCCTCACTTACACCCAGGCAGCCTAATTCATTTAAAGAAGGTTACTTGGCTATAACGGAGAAGCAGAAATATGGTCCACTGTCACTAATCTGAATTGTTTTGTTAACATTGCATATACCACGGAGGCTGCATCATCAGGACTGGTACTTTGCAGCTTCTGCCACTCAAATAGCATGAGTAAAAGTTTCAGATTCTGGCCCTAAATGATTAGCCTCTATGCTGAGTCCCCTTATTGCTGTGTATGCTCTCGTCCTCTACGGTGCCAGCAGAGCCCCCAACCAAAACCTAGTCACAGGAGCACAGCCTAAATTCCATGGAGGATTTGACATTAACCAGCTGAGTAGGAGAGGGAGGGCTCTGTTTGGTTCAGCACAGATCTATGTCTGGAGAATTTGCACAGTTGTCTGCAAAGCATGGGAGTTGTCTGCAAAGCATAGTGCATTCTCAATGTCCTGTGGGTTTTGTGAACATTTTGTTTGTGTTTTATTTGGGAGAGATCTCTGGGTTCTCCCCCACTGCTTCCCTGAATAGCCTCGTGTTCTCGATTCTCATTCCGGTGACCACTCTGCCTTTGCAGTACTCTTGCCTTAGTTGCCGGCTTCTGCATCAAGGATGGTCCCATGCTACTACATTGCTGCTTCCTTCTTTCTTAGCTGTCACAGAGTACCACTGTCATAATGATTACATCTTAATTAATGCAAAACTGTCAAGATCTCAGTCCTGAGAGGTACTGAGTGCTGTCCATTCCCATTGACATCAATGGGAATTATGGGTGCTCAGTGCCTCTCAGGATCAGATCACAGACAAGTGAGTGGGGACACAGTTTACATTGTGGGTTAGTGATGTCCCAGAATTCTCTCTGCTTTGCTGAAGTGTGTGTGTGGGATTTTAACTGCGATACGCTCTAGCTTTTTTTCTGATAGACTTTGGTGTTTTGTTTTTTCCAGTGTTGCCAAGTTTACTTGACAGGCTGGGAGATGCTAAAGACTCAGTGCGGGAGCAGGATCAGGCTCTGCTGCTAAAAATTATGGAACAAGCTACTAATCCTCAGGTATAGCAATGACTCATTTGGAATACACTGCGTGTGTTCACAAAGAACCTATGTCAGAATCTGTATTTATGACCTGCCATAAACTCACCTTCCCCCCTGGGTGCATGCTAACTGGCCCATTGTCTCCATGTCCACAGGATAATCTTCCAAGGTGGTTATGAAGAATGGATCATTTTCAGACCAGTTGCAGTTAGATCTGGGAGGGATGGTTGATTAATGTCCTAAATCCTAGGTTCCAATCCCAGCAGAGTGAAATTGATTTATTCCTCTTCTGAGTTAGATCCACTGAGAGCCACATAATTTACTGGGCGTGGATCTTTCAGATTACTACAATATAATCCAGGACCTTTCTGTTCTCATGGATGTTCATGATCCTCTGATACTTTCTGTAAAATGAGGGGTTTGCCCCTGGCCAGTATTTTCCCTCTTCCCACACAGTTGTTACTGAAACTCTACCTACCCCATTTCAATGGTGATGCACATGTATAGTTTGGAAAGATTCTTTGGGATCTTTGGAAATGAATGGTGCTATGTAAACATGCTCTCCGGCTCTACCTGCTTGTCCAGGAGAGTACCCGTTTCTGAGCCTTGCCCCCCATCTCTCCTAATTTCTGATTTGTCCCGAGATTTTAGGGCAGAAAGAAAGGCAGGGATGGACACAGTTTAAATGCTCACTAGCTGATGCTTGTGCTTCCCTATCCCGCAGCCCAGCGCTCTATCCCATGAAGCTGGGCCACAGCTGGGAGATGGGTGTGTTTGAGCATTAGCCAGGGCTCCACTAGAGGAGGGGCAGTCGCAGGTGTCAGAAGTGCTGTGCCTTGGGGGTTGGCGGGTGTGTGTGCTGGTAAACCAGTGTTATGTTAGCTAGCAGTGAGTTACTGAAAGGCTCAACAAAGAACAAAAGATTAGTCGCCTTTGATATTAATACAGTCGTCCTGGAGCTCCCACCCAGAAATCCTCCTAGTCTCTTGTGTGTGGGCACAGAGTTTATATTTAAACCCAAGGGATGATAAATTGTGCCAGGGCTGGAAAAGAAAACCCCACCCACTCTATTTTTCTTCTTCCCTTTCCACCCTCTTTTCTGTCTTCTGCAGTACGTGTGGGATAGACTGTTGGGAGGATTCAAACACAAGAATTTCCGGACGAGAGAAGGGATTTGCCTCTGCCTTATTGCAACCCTCAACGTGTAAGTCAGGACCTGTCATAGACCCGGGTTACTTGGTTCCAAGTGTTCTACATTTAAAAAAACAAACAAACAACAATTCATACTCATGCACTTTCTTTTCTCCTAGATCCGGAGCTCAGAGTTTAACACTGAGTAAGATTGTGCCACATATATGTAATTTACTTGGAGATCCAAACAGCCAGGTAAGTCTTTGGTGAAACTCGATGTTAAATTCCATAGTTACTGGCAGGGAGGGGGGGTCTGATTGCCACTCACAATAAGCAGGGCTCTAAAGTTTGAGTGGTACATTGACTGTGTGCTTAGTGCCGGCTGTTGGTGAAGTTTGCAACTTCACCATTTATGAAAAGCCCTGGTTTAGTTTTGCATAATGTGATTTTAGGGCAGGCCTCGTTCTGTCTCAGTCTCTCTATGGTAAATCTGAAATGATTTCACTGGAGTTGCTCTGGGTTTATATTGGTGTCATCAAAATAATTAATAAGAGAGTCCAATCCTAAAAGACTGAAATCATGACAATAGTTAACTCTTTGTGCAGCAGTGTGAGTTGCATGGGATATTGGGGCTGTGGCCGTCGGAGTAAATTCAAGAGAAGACATGAAAGAGATGCATGAATCCAGTCTGTCTTTGCTTAGTGCCATGTGCTCTATTGTGTTGTGTTATAAGAGCTGGCTTGGGCGGGTGTGGTGAAACTGAGCCGGTGTCCTAACCAGGGAATTGGCCGTGATGTGCTGCTAGACTAGTTTTTATAAGGAAGTTCCTCAAAAATATCCTACCAAATCTGTGATACATTTCCAACCCCCTATGTAAAAATAGTGCTGTTCCCTCTGAACATAGCCATCATTCCAGTCCTCCTTTCCTTCTCCCCAAGAGAATCCAACAAGTCCATTCGTGTGTCCTCTCCCAACTTCATTAGAGTGATTTCTATTGCTGTAGTGCCCCTCACCCTGAGAAGGATGGGGGCCCAGTTTCTCTAAGTGCTCTGCTGAGGCCAGGAAGAGGCAAAGCCTGCCCTGAAGAGCTTACAATCCAATTGGAAACAAGACACAACAAGTGAAAGTAGGAAACAGGAAGGGAGAGGGTGGGGAAGGGAAGACAAGGGAAAGGGCAATGAGATAGTGTTGTTATATAGGGCAGCTTTTGGCAACTTCCTGGTTCCCAGTCATTGGAAATTGCCCTCTCTTGCTGCATCACACCATGAGTCTCACTCCCCCTTGCATCATGGATGATCCTCTAGGTGTTCCCCTACCTGGCAGCTGTCTCTGGCTGTTGCTTGGGTGGGATGTGGTGTTGGGCTGGGTGGTTGGTTGGAGAATAGGTGCCTCGTGATTCTTGATTTGGGCAGGTCTCTCCTCCCCCCTCCTACTGCCCGACTGCTGGGGCTCTCACTAGCTGCTGTGAGGAGTTGGGTGGGGGAGAGCGTTCCCTTCGCTGATGTAAGGGGCTAAGAGGAAGAGCTGGTTACCCCTGAGAGGTGGTAAAGGGAAGGGGAATGGGGATCCAAACTCCCTTCCAGTACTGACTTTTCAAACCCTGGGCAGGGAATGGACCGGCAGGCTCTCTGGCAGGGGAGAGAGATGGGCTCCAGGACTCTCACTCAGTGCACATGCAGTGATTGTTTGGACACGTCTTCTCTCTCTCTTCTTTGTGCGCTGCTGGAGCAGCCAGCAAGCGTGTGAGGGGAGCAACCCTCACACCCCTGCGCACTCCTGTTGGTGCCTAGTACATCTCTCAGTCTCAAATTTCCTCATTATCCTTCAGAGTCTCCCCAAAGCAGTGCTTGTGGGGCAGAGAGGTGTAGCCTGGCCTGCCCAAACAAAAACAAAACCAACAACAAAACCCCACAATAATCGAACATAAACTACTGTGCCTGGGTATCTTTTTAAATCTTCACAGTAGTGAAAAACACTAACCCATTTGGCTAAAATCAAGTGCACTGTCAGTTTAATAAATGATGCTTCCTCTGTTAGGGGCCCACTAGATCCTGTCCTTCCTGGGGCAGGGAGGGAGAGGGATGGACCTTGTGATCTGATAACACTTTTCTCTATCTCCAGTTGCTTATTTTCTTCCCTCTGAGAATTATTGTTGTAAAGCTGCGTTAGCAGAATGTTGATCAACACTGTCCTCTGTTGGCTGAATGAGATATAGCAGAAGCAGGGAAACATGCAGGGTTTTTTGTTTTGCTTTGCTACAAAGATGCGAGTTGTATTGTTGAGGGTTTTGTTTTTACAAGCGGAGGGTTTTTTTTTTTTTTTTTAAACTAACATTGTTTTTGAGTGATCGTTTAGCAATTTCCCATATCCCAGTAAACTCTTGATCTGGCTGTTTAGTTATATACATTTAGACTATTCTGATTGAGAACAAAGAATCTAAAGGATTTTAACATAAAGAACTTGAAAGCATTTAAAAAATTGTGTTGTTATAAATAAAGAAAAGCCGCTATTGATACAGCCAAGTTTTATCCCTGTGTTTGCCCCATGGTCACCCCATCTTGTATGCCATGAGTATTTATTTAGGCCACGATCCTGCAAACATGTTCACATCCAAGTAACCTTACACGTCATCCCATTAAACTCAGGGGGACTACTCAGGCTCATAAAGTAACTTATGTCCGTGACTGGGGCTCTAGCCACTATGTTAATACAAATAATAAATAATAATAAATGTTTGCAGGATTGGGACCTTAGGCTGTAGTTTTTTTATAGTGACTTTTCCTCAGAAAGCACAAGTTTCTCATGGTGACTTTTTAGAGGAAGCATCAGTGTTCTTTTACCTACCCCTTCAGAGCCATGCTTTCACCTGTGCCAACTACAGCCTCCCATCGCCTGCTCCCCTCTTCCAGCTGTGGAAGTGTTTACCTCAGAGTCTTGCTCTGGAATCTTCATCCCCTCATTACCTCTAAGGGGAACAGGCAGCAGTGATCAAATCTTCAGCTGAGGGGACGAGATCTGCTCAACCTTCCTTTGTTTGTAGCAGGATCAGTGGCCTCTCTTCAGCTCCATGCAATGGGAACCAGTGAGGCTTTCTTGTTTTAAGGGCTAGTCGGGTCTTAGCTCGCTTCTGCCACCTCTACAATGTCACAGGGCTCAAAGAAAGCCCCAGAATTGCTGGCGTGTTCATGAACCCACTAACATCTTACTGCAACAGTAATGTGGCAGGATGCTGGGCCGTGTAATGTGGTTGCTTTCTGTGTGTTGGCTTGGGATGATCCTGCCGACTCACCCGTGGCTTTGCTTTGTTTGGTAACTTGTATCTTACTCAGGCTGATAGTGTGATGCTGGACCTTGGTATTCTCTATGTAGATAGATTGGGTTGTGTCATATTTACTCTTTTAATCTTTGTTCTACAGGAGCCCCATGCTCTCCCTCGTTTTTAGCTCCTCGTTACAGCACATGTAAAGATGGTGACCCATTAAAGAAGGTTTGTCCAAGAAAAAGAGAGAGGACTTTCACTTCTGATCTGTCCCACTCCATGTACACTGTCCTTCAGCAATCGCTGCAGCTCCTCAATCTTTAACTGAGTCTAAAAATAACCTCCTAAATTGACCAGAAAGGCGTACACCCTCTGTACACCATACTGGGTGCATCCCTTTATGTAGGGGCTGGTTAAATGGGTCTCTGCAACTGAATGGATGGTTATGGGAAATTCCTCCTAACTTCATCTCCCACATCAGTTTCATCTTGTCATTGGGCCATCTCCTGTCCTTGTTCCTTAGATGGCTGACAACCTGGTAGCAGAGCAGGAGGACTAAGTGTGAGGGTCTTTTCGGAATCCACACCAATGGTCCTCTACTGGTTAGGGAACCGAGTGTGACAGAATAAGAGTCTGCCCGTGACCGTGTCAAGTACTCGAGAGTCCTTTCTACCAGTGCACCCTGTGGGGGAGTGCAGCAAAGGGTTGAAGATTAAAAGATCAAGGATTCTAAAGGAATGCCCTCTGTTGGCCAAAGGCCAAACATGGGGCGGATGTCACCAGCTTCTGCTGACTTTGGCCAGTGACTTTGTTTGGCCTAGAGGATCTCGGAGTCTGAGAGCAGAGTCCATTGCCCTGTGAATTTCCAGCCTGCCAACCCTGTGCAGCTGCTCCCATCAGCCACTGGTCCGAGGTGTAAAGGGAAGCTCTGGTGGAATGTTGAAGGCCAGTAGGAGCCTGAGTTTGGCCTTGGTTCCAGAACCTGGCAAGAGGGGCAGTTGCGCCCGGAGACACAGCGGCAGTTGACGGGGCAGACAGACGGCTGAGTAAGGAATTGGGGGAGAGAGGGCAGAGAGGCACCCCTCAGCATGCACAGGGCTGTCATTCGTCCTCTCCACCTTCTGTGCCAGGGCTCAGGCTGCAGGGGCAGAGAAATCCTGTGATTGCTTCCTGCCCTCCCCTCCCCATAGGTGGTGCTGCAGCATAGTGCTTCACCTGCCAGTTGCCATGGGGATGGCGGGAAGAAGCACTGTGTAGAGCGTGGCCTGGAATGGAGAAGAGGAAAGAGGCACTGAACTGGCAGCATGTGGGGGAAAAGGGGATGCTGGGGCCTGAGAGGGGGAAATATGGGGTTAGGTAGGAGGAGAGGGGAGAATAAGAGGGGAAAGAGGTGAATGGCGGTACGGGCGGAGAGATGGAATGAGGGAGAGAGGAAAGGAAAGAAAACTTGACTAAGGCAGAGGAAAATGACTAAAAGCCCCTGGGGCAGGAGGGCCAGAACTCAGGGGTCTGGGAGAAAGCAGAGACCCTGCTAGGGGAAAGCTCTGCAGTGGGAGGACAGAGCTAGACAAGTGTGAGCAGCAGTTGAGGTGCTGTGCCACATGCTGGCTGTTGTCTCCTTGGCAATTTTTCTTCTGCAGCCATATGGCCAGGGGTTCCCCCATCAGCTGCCGCCTCTGGACCTCCCCCTCCTTGGGTGGGGTGTGTGTCAGACATTGGGGAGTGGAGTGTAGGCAAGTTAATGCTAGTGGTGGGCATTTCTTCCCCACAACTTTGCAGGGAGGGAGGGATTGCAGGCATCTTCCAGAGCACACCCTCCCCACCTGCAGAGCCTGATGGAGGGCAGTGGCTTACCCTGTTCTGGGCTTAGGTCTCTTCTGCCCATGCAGTTGCCGGGGGCAATATAGTTCAATTGGCTGCTGAGCACATCTCTTGCAAACCAGAAAATATCTTTTTTTAAATGCAAAGTTCTTACTTTATGTTCTGCCACGAAGCCATGTCAATCATTTATCCTAGCTGTGCCGAGATTAGACTATCTCCCTGGTGTTTGTGAGGCACCTGTTGCCCTGGTATCAGTTGCCTTGCATTAACAATATCAGCCTAGAGCAGGTAAAAATCATGATTAGTTTGTTGGTATAGTTGATCTGCTGCGGTACTAATGTTGTACTGAAATCTGTTCTGTAGTAGAGATACTAGGGGTTTTGTTATTCTCTTACCGTTCTCTGTCTATACCTACGTCTGCGGCAGTGTGACTCTTTCCTTGCTGGGTAACATAGTCTGCGTCTATATCACGGACGGATCTGGAGGGAGCCTGTAGCCAAGGCAATTTTGCAGTGGTAGTTCTGTGGCATTGTATTTTTCATTAGGAGATTGGTCTGTCTCTGCAGAATCTAAGGACAGAAAGTCAAGGACTTCAGTTACTGAGCACGCCTGATTTCTTGACATGGCAGGACTTTATGCAATTGATATCAAAATTACTTCTTTCCTCATGCTATTAGATCAACGTAGACAAAAGTATAATGCAAAGAGGTGCCTCTCCTGATTTAGTGCCATCTTACAAGCTCATTGTGTTGATCTACTAGCACACATCTACAAAATCTGTTCATCCACCTTTACCACAATGGTCATAAAGAAGAAAAAAAGAATATTATGTTTAGCCTTCAAAAAATATACCCATCCTAGATGAATGGGTGAGTGGAATTTTATAAGGCTGAGCAGATTTACTGCATGCACAGAGGCTGGAGAGCTCTGCCACTGACTTGCTGTCTGCCCTTGGGCAAGTCACTTCAGCGCGCTGTGCCCCAGTTTCCTCATTAGTGAAATGAGCCTAATGATACTTCTCACCTCTGAGATCTATGGATGAAAAACACTACATAAGTACTATTACTATTATTTATTATGCAAAAAATCATGGGAGCCATTGTGGCTGAGAAATGGATATATTGCTTTTTTGGCTTCTCTTAGGAAATAATATTAAAAATTAAAAGATGATTAATTTCTATTAAATCTCTTCTTTACTATTTAGGTTCGAGATGCAGCAATAAACAGCCTAGTGGAAATTTACAGACATGTAGGTGAACGTGTAAGGGCAGATCTCAGTAAAAAAGGATTACCACAGTCTCGGTGAGTTAAGAATATCCATTCTTTCTGCCTTTCTTGGTTTCTTTTTCATTATTGCTGCATTTAGGGACTATGCATGCGAGTCTTTTTGTGGGATTGGGCCCTTAGGCGCCGATCCTGCAAACACTTTGCATGCACTTAACTTTACTCAATGGAGTAAAGCTGATAGGGACTATTCACCTGCAGAAAGTTAAGCACATATGTAAGTGTTTGCAGGATTGGGGCCATAGCATCTGTGGAAAGTATTTTAAAAAATATTACATAAGTCCTAGAAAATGTAACTCTCAAATGTATGCCGTGTCGGTCCCAGGACATTAGAGAGACAAGGTGGGTGAGGTAATATCTTTTATTGGACCAGGTTGTGTTGGTGAGGGAGGAAATGTCTACACAGCAAAGAAAAACGCGCAGCTGGCCCGTGCCAGCCAACTTGGGCTTGTGGGGCTCAGGCTCTGGGACTGTTTCACCGTTGTGTAGACTTGTGGGCTCAGGCTGGAGCCTGAGCTTTGGGACCCTCCCACCTCACAGGGTCCTAGAGCCTGGGCTCCAGCCGGAGCCCAGATGTCTACACAGCAGTGAAACAGCCCCGCAGCTGGAGCTCTGCGAGCCCGAGTCCGCAGGCACAGGCTGGCCGTGGGTGTCTAGCTGCTGCGTAGACATACCCAGAGACAATCTTTGGAGCTTGCATAGAGCTCTTTTTCAGGCCTCGGAAACTAACTCAGTGTGTCACTGCTAAATACAAGGTGGAACAGATTGTTTAGCATAAGTAGTTAATATTTCAAGGGACTATTAAAGGTGAAGTGGCTCGCTAACACCTCTCCAGTCATCGGGAGGAAAGAAAGGGGACGGGGTGGCAACTGGGCAAGGTTTGTTAGTGGGTTACCGATAGTTGTAATAAGCCATAAATCCAGTGTTTCTATTCAGTTCATGATTTTTAGTGTCTAGCAAAGTTATGAATTTAAGGTCCCAGGCTTGTCTTTTGAAAGTGTTGTGCAGGTTTCCTTTGAGGATGAGGTCAGATATAGAGTGATCGCTTAACGAAAAGTGTTCACCCACAAGTGCTTGGGTGGTTTTGTTTGTCTTTTATTATTTTCCCTGTGTGAGTTCATTTGAGAATGTAGTGATTGTCTGGTTTAATCCATATAGTTGCTAGTGGGGCATTTAGTGCACTGGATGAGATACACCACATGTGGAGATAGGCATGTATAGGACCCATGGCTCTTGAAATGCACGTTGTAGGGTGGTATTGACCATTGAAGCAGTGGAGATATGTCTGCAGGTTTTGCATCTGTTGTTCTGACAGGGTCTGGTGCCGCTTTGACTTGGTGTGTCCTGGTCTGTGGGAAGTTTGCTTCTGATGATGAGCTTGGAGATGTTGGGGGGTTGCTTGAAGGCCAGAAGAGGGTGTTCAGAAAAGATTTATCTTAGAATGTAGTTGTTTGATGATATCCTATATAGGTTCCAGTGTGAGATGGTTGGTGACAACTAGGGGTGTGTGGTCAGAGGGGGTTTTATTTCTGTATTGAGGTAGGTTTTCTTGGGGTATTTGGGTGGCCTGTTCCATGATGCGATCTACTTCTCTGGCGTGTCCTTGTTTGGTGAAGTTGGTTTTGAGTGTGTTAAGGTGTGTATCCCAGACTTTCTCCCGGGAGCATATTCTGTGGAATCTGAATGCCTGGGTATAGATAACAGATTTCTTGGTGTGATTGGGGTGTTACTGGACCTGTGCAGGAAGTGATCCGTGGGTTTCTTGTAATTCAAAGGTAATGTGTTTATGTTGCAACATTCTGCTTGGTTACTGCCTCCTGGACTCCATAGGTCTTGCATGTATATTAAATATATTAAGAACAAAAAGAAACCTGGTAATGGTATTGGTCCTTTGCTAGATGGAAATGATAGAATTATCAATAATAATGCAGAAAAGGCAGAAGTGTTCAATAAGATGTAAATTTTTAACAGTGAGAATAATTAACCATTGGAACAGTTTACCAAGGGTCGCGGTGGATTCTCTGTTACTGACAATTTTTAGATCAAGAGTGGATGTTTTTCTAAAAGATCTGCTCTAGGAATTATTTTGGGGAAGTTTTATAGCCTGGGTTATACCTCAGGTCAGACTAGATGATCATAATGGTCCCTTCTGGCCTTAGAATCTATGAATATGGAGCAGCCAGGTCAGACTGGTAAATGGACACACAGTTAAAAGGAGATTGGCAGGATAAAAACCATATACTCAGCAATTGTGAGATCTTTAAAAAAATTATACATGTTGGTTACTTTATATTTACCTCCTGGTGTTTGAACCTTTAAGGTTCAGTTGGGCCATATTTTCAAGATTTTTCTCTACAACCATAAGGGCTAGAAACTTACTTCTGTTTTAAATGGAAGCTGAGATCCTCACGTAATCACTTCTTCCAAGAGCTGTGGCTTTAAGAAAAACAGCAAATATTGGGAGATGCAATATAGTTGTGAAAACTTGCAACACTGTCTATTTAAACCAAACAGTTTTGCATGTATTAGTCTTGTTTGCATAACGATATCTTAAATTACGGTATTTTGAAAACTGAAATAAAATTCCAGTTTAGAAAAACCACAAGTTATTGGGCTTGATATAGGAATCACTGTGTAAAATTTGAAGGCCTGTTGTATGCAGGAGGTCAGACTGAATGATCATAATTGTCCCTTCAGACTTAAACTCATGGAAAGTATGAAGTCAGTATATGCAGTTTGTTTACTTTTTGCTCCTCATTCAGTTTGAAAGGTGAAACTAGACTGGTCAGTTTCACTTTCTGGTTCCCACCTTCAGGGGTTCATAGCAATGCAGGGGAATATTTAAATATGTTTAAAAGCTCCATGGGCTAACTACTCCTATCATTTATGCTAGTGCAAAGCCATGGAGAATTTGGGACACTATTTTCATTCAAATTGAAAAAAAAATCATGAAAACATCCAGAGCTCCTTTGAAAATCTGTCCAGTGGGGCTAAATGCTGAGTATATGAACTTCCCCCACTCAGGGGGCTTAGCACCACACAGGATAAGGCCCTGGCTTAGATCAGTGGAATATAGGGTTCCATAGATGAGACCAAGTAGTAAAGAGACATAGAGAGGAGATGATTGCCGGAAGTCTTTGAGAAAGAAGTGGATCCGAAGGAGGCGTATGAAAGAGGAACGGAAAGGGAGTGTATGTGTGTGTAGTGCAGGGGAAGCAGGAAGCGGATGTAAGCTTTGGGGAAGCATAATAAGTCAGAGCTGAGATGGGTGGAGAAGACAGAGGGAGTGATTAGGCGAGCAGAGGTGAAGGGGTGAGGGGCATGAGAAGGTGGGTAGGTGGAAGTAAGAACAAACGCAGGCAGAGTCTTAAAGGTGGTCATGAGAAGATACAGTTCAGTTGGCAGAGACCCACAGATAGGTTTGAGCCGAAGTCTGATCTTTCTCTGTCCTGGTCCTGTGAATTGTTTAGATTTTCATTGGTGGGGATCTCAGACACTAAGTACCTTGTAGTCATTGCCAAGGATGGAATAAGTACTAGCAAAGATTCTGGAGAAGTGCATTCAGATCTGATTTTTTTTTTAAATAAGTCTGATAAATGTTGATGTTGTGCTCTGGCTCCTGGCAAAGGGCCAATGTGGTCTTAGCTGTCATAAGATATGGTTCCCCTTGTTTTCCAAGGGCAGGCTGTCCTAGGACTCAGGATGTTGTTAGCATGCTCATTGATAGAAGAGGGACTGTTGACACTTTGACCATTACAACGTGCACAGTCTAAAACTCCAGAACAAGGGAACAAGGGACTTTTTGCAGCCCATCTCAGGGATCATTATGATTTATATTATTGTCTCTTAACCTCACAGCCTCAACTTCTATGTCTATAAAATGGGCTAATATGAGTTGCAATGAATTGTTTTGTGCTTTGCTTTCAAGCTTACAGCGTGTGTGTGTTATGTGCAATGAATGTTTGGCATAGTGACAAGTTTTTTGGTTTTGCTTGGTGTAGAATGTTTTAGACATTAAAGGTCAGGTTGCATCAATTAGCCCCTGGGCCAAGCAGGGGTGGTGTGGAGCTGCATTACTCCAAGGGAAGCTTGGGAAGGAATTGTTTCATCAAGATCTGGTATGTGGGGGGTGTGTGGTGGGGGTGGGGGCTGCAGTATGTCCCCCTGCCTCCGTGTGCACCCTCATAAAGGTCTGCCACAATCTCTCTGAGGACTAAACTCCATAGGCTGGCATATTGTGCTGGGCTAAAGATTTCCTGCTGCAGTGGAAATGCCAAGGTGAAAACAAGGCACGAACAGAAAAGAAATGTCAAGGCCAAACAAGAATGTTCTTTAAAACCCAAGACTTCTCCTTTATTAACAATTCTGCAAATGGTTAAAGTACAGCAAAGTCATAAGCAACAGGAAACTGGGTTTTGTAATGGGAATGGCAACCTTAATAATAGCGGTGCTGCCAGTCCTGCCTATAATATGCCACCTGGTGTCTCTGTCTTTTCTCTGTTTCCTCTTTGTTTATTAATAATCAAATATTGTATCTATATGTCATACATAAAATAGTTTAGGTCCTCATCTTGTTCTCATAGAAGTCAATGGTGAAAGTCCCATTGACTTCAGTGGGAGCAGAATTGGTCCCTTAATTAGCACTCTAAGTTACAGGGGCCACAGTAATTCACTTTGGTTACTCATTATGTAATGCATTTTCTTTAACTTTCAAACAGGTTGAATGTAATTTTTACAAAATTCGATGAGGTCCAAAAATCTGGAAACATGATCCAGGGTGCAGGTGGTAAGTAGAATACTGTGATGGTCTCCATTTTTTTGTGAATTATCAGTGTTGTGGAAATTCATAAAATAAGTTGTGTGCCTCATTCCAAAATGTTATATTTTTTCTTGTACATCTGGGAATGGTGAAGTCTAGTTCATGCACTTCATTGTGTGATGGCGTGGGATAAAACACTAAGCTGAATATGGGGGAAATTGTGTTTGTTTACAGTGGAGGAGAATCTGAAGTTTCTTCACCATAAAGGATGTTTTTTGTTGTTCAGAAGAATGTAACTGAGAACCAATGTTCTTGTCTATATCAAGAAGTGAGAAGGAAAAATTTACACCTTTATCAAACACTGCAATGGTTCACCAAGTTACTCTAAATTTAGTTCAATCTATTGAATGACCAGGACAAGTTGGGCTGAATTCACCCCAATCTAACTTAATTGATGTCAGTGAAGTTAGACAAAGAAAATAAGGGCGGCCATACTGGGTCAGACCAAAGGTCCATTTAGCCCAGTATCCTGTCTTCCAACACTAGCCAATGCCAGGTGCCCCAAAGGGAATGAGCAGAACAGGTAATCATCAAATGATCCATTCTCTGTCGCCCATTCCCAGCTTTTGGCAAACAGAGGCTGGGGACAACATCCCCGTCCATCCTGACTAATAGCCATTGATGGACCTATCCTCCATTTATCTAGTTCTTTTTTGAACCCTGTTATAGTCTTGGCCTTCACAACATCCTCTGGCAAAGAGTTCCACAGACTGACTGTGCATTGTATGAAAAAATACTTCCTTTTTTTTGTTTTAAACCTGCTACCTATTAATTTCATTTGGTGACCCCTGGTTCTTGTGTTATGAGAAGGTGTAAATAACATTTCCTTATTTACTTTCTCCACACCAATCATGATTTTATTGATCTCTATCATATCCCCCCTTAGTCATCACTTTTCCAAGCTGAAAAGTCCCAGTCTTATTAATCTCTCCTCATACGGAAGCCGTTCCATACTCTCAATCATTTTTGTTGCCCTTTTCTGTACCTTTTCCAAGTCCAATATATCTTTTTTGAGATGAGGCGACCACATCTGCACGCAGTATTCAAGGTGTGGGCGTACCATGGATTTATATAGAGGCAATCTGATATTTTCTGTCTTATCATCGATCCCTTTCTTAATGATTCCCAACATTCTGTTCGCTTTTTTGACTGCCGCTGCACATTGAATGGATGTTTTCAGAGAACTATCCACAATGACGCCAAGATCTTTCTTGAGTGGTAACAGCTAATTTAGACCCCATCATTGTGTATGTATAATTGGGATTATGTTTTCCAGTGTGCGTTACTTTGCATTTATCAACATTGAATTTCATCTGCCATTTTGTTGCCCAGTCACCCAGTTTTGAGAGGTCCTTTTGTAGCTCTTCGCAGTCTGCTTGGGACTTAATTATCTTGAGTAGTTTTGTATCATCTGCAAATTTTGCCATCTCACTGTTTACCCCTTTTTCCATGAATGTGGATGAATGTGGTCCATTATGTCTTAATGAGAGATGCTAATGTGGACTCCGGATGTATCTAAGGCAGGTTCTCTTTAAAAGGAGTTCAGCTGGTTATGTCATGTGTAGTGCTGGCACTTGTTGGAGTTTGATGGGACATACTTGTGCATCATGGTGTTGTGATGTCATGTTACCACATTTTGTCAATAGAGCCCCACTGCACTGAAATGATGTGAGGTGGTGATGATTCATTGCCATTGGAAGCTGCCTTGGAACCTATTAACATGCCACAAGCTCAACTTGCTAGTGGATTATCTGAATAATGTGAGGGCAGTTCTGGAGGAAAATCCGATGGATCACAAGCCTATATGGCTAGGACAATAGTTTGTATTCAAGGAAAGAGTCACCATTAAGAATACGTTTTGCTGGAGAGTAGAAAAAGGGAATCATTTCAGATTTCAAGAGCAAGACTTTAGCTGTATAATTATTATAAACTGGATATAACTGAGAAGGGTATCAGCTCCTTAACCTGCCTAACCCCAGGCCCTTAGGAGATTTCTCTAGCCCCCAGGACATGCTTTAACATCTCAGCGCTTTGTGTAGTCTCACAGGTGCCTCAGGTACCATGGCTACAGGCACCAAAACTGTGAAAGTATCATGAAGTAGATAAATGGAGGAAGAGAGATGGGACTTTTCTAAATAACTGTTCTTGACTTATTGAAAGTCACCTTGTCCTGATTCACTAAACATACACAATATATTATTTTCTTGATTTTTTTTTAAACACCACTTTAAATATGTTTGCTGTTTTTTTAATAGAAGCATAACTATTCATAGGTATAAGCAAAACACCTGTGTGTGAGAGAGTGTGGTGAGTTAACGGAGAAGAAAATTCTCAGACTTTTCAATTTCCCTTGGTGTTGTAGGCTGATTCATCCCCTCTGCCTAACTACCCCACCCCCAGCCTCCTCCTTTCCTCTCTCTATCCAATGTATGAACAAACTTTGTGCAATAAATCTTTATGTTCAGATGATGCCCTCTAGCGATGGTATTAGATAGTAAATGTGACTTGTCTTCAGCCTTGATCGCACATTTCATTGTGGCCTAAAGACAGACTTGTTGTCCAGAGAGGTTCTGTTTTAGCCCTGCTTTTAGAACAAAGGAGATACTGTCAACATCCACCTGAGTTTACGGGAAAGGTAATAAATAATGTGCACCCCAAAGCTTAGCTTTTCACAGAAAACAGCTTCATGAATCTGCTGATCCCTTTTGGAGTTTGGCAGATGGCAGTGCTTATTGCCAGGCTCTCTACCTTATTATCATGAAGACTGCTCCTTTTAGGCTGTGTCTGCACTGCGTTTCTCCTCTTGCAGTAGTGAGAGTGTAGGTCAGCTGGCAGCAGTTTAAATGAGCAATTATCTGAGCAGGATAATGGTGGGGCTGATGCAGCTCCATCAGTACTAGAGTTAGCCCAGACCCGTGGCTTGTCTGCACTAGTATTAGCCCCCAGGATGCTACAGCCGTGTCATAGGGAAAAAGCTCCATGTAGATAAAGCCTTAGACTTTGTCTACACTAGTAGTGCTCCACGGACCCCTGGCAGTCTGCAGATGATGCCTAAGATTTCCAAAGCGTCCACACCTCCAATAGAAATTTTTTAGGGGCCTGCAAATAAAAAAAGGTTGAAAACCACTGTTCTATACAGATTCCTGTAAACAGGATTAAATGCCATTTTTGAAGACAGTAAGTCCCTGTCTTCACTACAGAAATCATCATGTTTAAACATCACTGTGCCCAAAGCATGTTATAACGTGGTTTATGTTGATGTGTCTAGACAGAAAATTCCTGTGATGATCATGTTAGAAAACTATTGATGAAATGCTGGCAACACTAAAGTCAGTGGCAGAATTCCTATTGATTTTAGTGGGGCCAGGATTTCACCCACTGTTTTAGCCTTGCTATTGTCCAGGGTTAGAGCATGGCCCTCTAGCATGGTTATAAGACAGGTGAGAGCAAATGAAGTTACCCCTATGTCCACACATGTTAGAACCATGTTTTGAAACCATGCCCGAGGCTTCCTTGGTGGAGCTGTGAGCGTACTTTTGGCGAACGGGGCGGTTCGTAATAGAGTCCTGGCCACCCAGGAGCACTGACCTGTGCTAACTATGACAGGGTTCAGAAATGGTTGTCAAACCTGCCTTATACTGATGTGCAGGGGAATTAAGCAGGCAGAAAGGAAATGGTTGTTTTCACTGAAAGTGGCATGTGCCAAGATAATCAGACAACGGAAAACTATAACTGAAACTGATCTTTTAGCTCTCAAAGTGTACTGACTTGGATATAGAAGTATTTATCAGATCACCGATGTTTATGTAAAAGAAACCATCAGCTAGAGTCAGAGTTTATGTATATTGAGAGTACTTTTTGGGAAGTGCGCTGTAAGTCATTTAGGACTGTCTTGAACAAACAGCATTTCATAACAGATGATAAGCAATATTTTTTGGTCTGAATAGTGAGACATTCAGTTTACGAGTAACACTGATCAAAATAATGGGATATGTTCTGCTATCAGTAACGCTGATATAAATCTAGAGAAACACTACTGCAGCCAGTGGATTTACACCGGTGTAACCATGATCAGAATGAGCCATTGTATATTTTTCCAAATAACAATTCCAGCATTTTTTTTACACCATGGTTCATCACAGTTTCCTCAAATTGATGTTGAGAAACACTTCATATTGTTCCCTGTGAATCTGGACTTTGATTTAAGACTTAATAGTATTATGAATAAAACAACAGTTGTGTATGTGTGGTGGGGAAGGTCCGAATAGTAATTTGAAGTGGATTTCGTTTATATAGCAGACAGAGGGGAGGATTTCATCTTTGTAAGTATGTTGCTAGGTTACCAGAAAGCCTTACAGCCAGAAAATGGAGCTAAGGTGAATGTTGGATTTCTCGATGATTCTTGATGTATCTGTTTTGTTTTTTACATATAATTAGTCAACCTCTTGAGGCAAAAATTACAGTTTTTTCCCTTCTTTGGCTTTCAGCAAGCTAATTAATTTTTGTGTAACTGCCTTTGCTAATTATGCAGATATACTTGTATCCCTGGGAGAAATAGATTTTCAGCACGAAAGAGCCAATAATTGCAGGCCTAGTCAGTTGCCGTCTTCATATGGCATCGCATGATGGTCTTTAATTGGATGTGGTATGGAGGGAGGCCCTTGGACATAAATGTAGATTTAATTTACTCTCAGAAATCCCCACTGTTCTGCTTTTCCTGGATTTAGGCCTAGGAGGGCTTGAACCAAAGCTTGTTGAAATCAGTGTTTTTCCATTGACTGCAGTGGGCTTTGGATCAAGCTCTAACTACACAGAGTTCTAAATTCAAGTTTCAGAAAGGATCAGGTTAAGCACACGATCAAGCAGTAACTAAAGGTTAATGATCAATATTACAATGTAGTCATTTTCTCCTATTTAGAAAAATAGACCGATTGGAAATGACAATCGTGTCATAAGCGAACAAAACT